CACACACACACACACACACACACACACACACACACAGCATAGCTCAACCACCTCTTTCAGCTGTACCTTCTTTTCCTGCCCTTTTTATAACATTAAATGGATATTCCTCTGCTTCCCTTATGTCTCCTGGGAAGTATCTACTCCCTGGGCTCCTCATCTACAGCTACTTAGGGGAAGGTTTCTTCTGCCCTTCTACGATCAGAAGGGGGTCTGCCTGGCCCTGGAGACAGGTGGGTGTGCCTGCCTGCTGCCTGAGTGCCAGGCTAAGAGCTGCTCTCTCATTTCTGCATTGCCATGCTGGGGTCCTGGGACAAGAGGCATTTCCTTCCCCCCCACAAGCCGGTCACATTTCCTTCCCAAAGTGGAAGAGTTTCTTTGGTACAGTGTGGAGATGGGCCTACTAAATGAAAGTGGGGAGGACTTCAGAGGCCTCTCCCTACCCAACCCAGGGACCTCGGGATCTTCACTAGATCCCCTGCTCAAGACACCCTACTCCAGCCACAGGGGCTTTTGCTCCTGTCTTCCTCCCAATATGGTGGCCCTGCTCTTCTGACTCACTGGGCCCTCTAGAGCCTCATTGTTCTCTTTTAAAAAGCTCCAATGTCCAACTAGGAAACTGCCAGACACAACTCCTGGAGAATTCTGCCCCCACCCCTGACCAAGCATCCACATCTGAACCCAGCCCTTAGGGACAGGTAGGCACAAAGCAGTGGTTTGGGCTTTATAGTGCCTAATCAAGGAAAACACACCAGTCCCTACAAGCCAAGAACACCTCCTAGACCCATTCCTGAATTTTCTACCCCTTAAAAATTAAAATCAGGCACTTAATAAAGTGTCCGCATCAAGTTGGGACAGGGAAAAGAGAAAAAAGTTGTCTAACCTCTGTTCCCTTCAATGAATAATATTTTGTGAACAACTTGTACTCTAATAAGCATATTGCTTTCTTCCAGGAAATACTAGGAACCAAATCTGGTTTGGATTTAGAATGCTGTTTGACAAACTTGCAAACTAGTCTCCATTTTCTAAGATTTCAGTAATCTAGACTTCAGTGGAAAGAACATTTCTCTGAAGAGAAAGAAGCCCACTCCCCTCATCAAGGCAACTCTGCCTGGGGTTCAGGATGTCACCAGCTAACATATGACACCATCAAATTGCCAAGCTGAGCTGAAAGAATCACAGGACCAAGAAAGACTTTAGATGTGGTCTGGTCAGTGTTGTCAAACTTTTTAGCTGCAGAACCCATTGTTAAAGCCTTACTCAAAGGCCCATGAAAGCCACTGTGTTCCAGCCACTTTTCTCTGGCCTTGCTGTCCAAGATATCCCCAGGGGATCCATGGAGCACAGTTTGGAAATCCTTAATCTAGACCAACTCCCTCAATTGCTGGGCCCTGCCTGGATTTGAGTTTCTTCAAAGCTAGGCCCCTAGCTGCAGCCTCCCCTGTTTTCAGATCTAGTTCCCTGGGGCATGAGTCATTTAAGGAGCTCAAGCCTATTCCTCAAGAACAAAGTTGCCCTGGTCTTCAGTTCAGGCCAGATGTGGGGACCCAGTCTGATACCTGGGCTTCCCCCTGACCCTAGACCATGACCCAGCACACACTCTACTGACAGTGAATCGGTGGTCATCTCTAGTACAAAGGACAGAAATTGCCCTGTGTGTCTTTTCTTTCCCCTAATTTTCTTGGTCGCCACAAAAAGCCCAAGATTCCAGGTTCCCATTCCCACATGGTTCTCTGCATCTTCTGACCCCTTCTCCCTCTCCATCCCGCTGAAACCTTTCCACTGTGCCCTCTGCTCCCCACAAGCCATCGCCCATTCAGATGTCAGCAAACATTTTCTATAAAGGGCAACATGCCCATTTTCAGCTTGCAAACCACGTACTCTTTGTCCCAACTATTCAACTTTAGTGAGAAAACAGCAATAGACAACAGCAATATGTAAACGATGGGTGTAGTTGAACTCTAACAAAACTTCATTTACAGAGCAGATGGCCCAAGTGCTGCCCTAAACCCTCAGCTTTGTCTCTGGCCTCTCATTTAACTCCCTGACTCCCGCCAAGAGTCCTGCCTCCCTTGCATTCTCTCAAGAGATTACCACTCTCTCCCAAATGCCTTGTTCCACAACCCAGAGGTCAGGAGAAGGGCCCTGTGTTTCTCTTATTTCTGCTTTCAGATGGCTACCCCTCCCCTTCCCTAGCAACTTCCAGTTTTAATGTGTGTGATCAGACCCTTCTACCCCTACTTCTCCTTATGGGATCCTCTGTAGGCCTCTATGGGACTCTATTCCTTGAAGACATGAGCTCTTGGTTCATTCCCATTCTCTCCAAACTTAGTATTGCTACTGTCCCTTCCAGTAGCTTCTTGGTTCCTTGATATTGTTATGCCCAGAATTCATGATCCCCAAAGACCACTAGGGAGCCGAGTCCGATGCAAAAGCAAAGAGCCTTTATTCGAGCTAGCTCGAGCTCAATCCCCTACCTGCACCGACGCAGCGGTGAGATACCAGGGAAAGAGAGCGAGTTTCAAAAGGACAAAGGTTTTATTGGGGCCTGGGGCAGTTGGTGAGGTAATGGCTATGGCCTCAGCCGATTGGCTGGGGAAGGGTCCTGGGGAAGGGTCCGAGTCCTGTTAGGCAGGTGAGGGGGGGGTTACTCAAGGGGAGGAGGTGTGGTCAAGGTGAAGGACACAGAACAAGATGGAGTCGGCTGGCGTAGGCCCGCCCTTTCAATATCTTCCCCACCCAGCGACCCTGACTCCATCCTGACTCCAGGTGCACACTCCCATGGTTATAGCCACTATCCCTGCCATAAGTAATAACTGAGCCCTCCCTCATAATGTCAAACCAAACATCCCACTCTGTAAACAATACCACCCATATTTCCAGCTTATTCCCTCTTGCACTTTGACTCTGACAATCCATTCACCCTGTCCCATTCTCTCTGTTCCTCCACCCATTGTGTCCAGTCCTCCTTTTAACCAGCTTAAATGCCCAGCCCATCATAATCTCTCACTACCATGTACAGTCAACTTCCTCATTTTTCTATTCATCTACCTTGCTCATTTGGAAAAACACCAACCACAATCAAATACAACTAGATGGAGATCCATCTGGTACCTGAAGCTATGCCATTGAAAGGGGTAGAGAAACTTAAAGCTGAGCTGATGGGTTTCACTTTACAGTCATGACCACCAACTTCAAATAGGTCCTTGATGATATATGGCAATCCTACTACATGTGCCTTCCTCATTCACTCTTTGCTTTCTTTGGTGATTCTTTTATACCTTTGCCTCACCCTTCAAACTTCCAGTACCCACTCCTCATTTGCATTTTCAGCTGATGACCTTGCTCCCTGTTTCCCTGAAAAAACAGGTGCAATCAGGGTAACATCTGTACCGCTATAATGTGCCCTCCTACTAGAACCATGATAAACCATCCCTTCTCCTATCTAGGGCCAATACCCCTCAGGGTACATGAGATACCTTCCTGCCTACTGAAGGGTATCAGTCCTTCCAGTAATTATTCCCTCACTTCTGCATTGCCAGATCACCTGTCTCTGTTACATAACTCCCATCACATATAAAAATGTTGCTGTATCTCCCATTTAAAACCAAACACTACTTGGGGCACCTGGGTGGCTCAGTTGGTTGAGCGTGCAACTTCGGTTCAGGTCATGATCTCACGATTTGTGAGTTGCAGCCCCGCATCAGGCTCTGTGCTGACAGCTCGGAGCCTGGAGCCTGCTTCGGATTCTGTGTCTCCATCTCTGCCCCTCCTCTGCTCATGCCTCTGTCTCTCTCTCTGTTTCTCTCAAAAGTAAATAAACATTTTTAAAAAATTAAAGCAAACACAACTCTCTTGATTCCACACCCTCTCCTGTAACCATCTTTTTTCTTCTACCACCTTTGACAGCAAAGCTCATCAGAAGGGTTGTTCATACTGTAGCCACCAGCCACATGGCCACTCAGCACTAATCTAGAAAGTTTCAATTACATATATGGCTCAAATTTGTGGCTTGCATTATAGTTGTGTTAGAGCTGTCTCAAACTTTTCTTGCTGTCTTCTCTTGAACCCATATCTGTTAGGCATTGTCCCCATCACTCCGCCAAACAGATGTTTCAAAGTCTAAGTGGTCTGCATGTTACTAAAGCCAGTGGTCAGTTTCCCATCCTTATATCCGCAGCACAAAGCCAGTTTCTATGCTATCATTTATTTGTGCCCAGTTTAAATCAAAAGGGAATTGTTAGGAGTAAGAAAGTAAGTGGGGAGGAAAGAGGATGCGGTTCCTGGCCACGTGAAGGCCGGCTTTAGGAATCCTGGAGTGGGGAGAGGACACCACAAAGGGACAGAGGCACTACTGCAAACTTTAGTGGCTTTACACTTCTATGCAGGCCACCTAGCTTATACAAAGCCATTTGTGTTCATGCACAACGTTATGACTACAAATGGCCTGCCTATCCCCTCTCGGACCTTTCTAGGCAGTGGATATGTCCCTTGGGTGATACCCACACTGAGGGAATGTCATCTTATGATGGTCACAGTCCCTTCCCCCCACACACCTTGGCACTGGTTCCCATGCTGGAGGCACCTGCGAACTCTGCTGTCCCAGGCTTCCTTCAGAGAATTCAGAGTCTGACAGCTCCTTCTCCCCTTCTTCTCTTCTAGGCTTTTTAGTGCAATTTTAGAACAAGCCACCAAAGCTGACGGGGCAAATGCTCTAGGAGGGAAAGGAGCTGGATTTGATGTGAAGGCACTGAGGGCATTCCGCGTGCTGCGCCCCTTGCGGCTGGTGTCTGGAGTCCCAAGTAAGTAAAGCCATTATTCTTGTTTACAGTGTTATCTTGTCACCACCCTCTGCTTTCTTTTGCTGAATTGCCGGGAGCACTTTGCAAAGAAAACTGATTTCATATAAATGGAGGGGGCTTTTCTTAAATGAATTCCTTTGCTTTAAAGAACCTAACTCTGATATGAGTCCATTAAGACACACTGTGGTCCCAGCTCCTCTAAACACCTGGAAAAAATCCACAGCAGTCACGCAGCCAAATGAAGACAGCCTACAACAGAGAAAGCAATCCCTTGGCCATCTGAGCAATCCCCTCAAGGCCCTGGGCTGGGAATTAAAATACATTTTCAGCAAAGGAGCCAGGTGAGTAGAGAAGGCTAATCCCCAAGGCTCGCAAGGTATTTTAGCCTATGAGATTATCTCTACTTTCTGTATTTTTCCAAAGAACAATCTGAAAAGCATCAGTGGATGTTCAAAAAAGTTCTGTTTGCCATTTCTCTCAACCCTTTCCTTCTTTCATGTCAAATGGGACATTTCCGGTTTCAGAAGCCCTATTTATGGACAGGCTACCTGTCTTTGTAGAACTGGTTTTGCCAGAGGGTGGAGGGTGTTTAGCTCTCTGAATCAAGCAAAAGGGCTTCAGAGAGATATTGTCTATTGTGTATCTGGATAGCAGTCACCTGGACAGCTTCTCTTCAAGCTCTTCCTCCAGAAGCCTATCCCACCATGGATGAGCCCCAGGCAACTAACACAGCAGCTTCGGGCACCCAGCTTTGCTCCTGCAAAGCCCAGCCCAAGTTGTTCCTTGGGGTTAAGTGAGCTTTCCAAGAGCTCCTCTTTCCACTCCTCCTTGATGAGTTGGTGGGATCTGAGCACAATTGTGGACTTGTGTGCTGAGATTTTTCCCTCTCAAGTCAGCTCCATCATCTGGCCCATAACTCAAGGTAAAGGAGGTCCCTAGGACTGGGCTGAAATCAGACTAGCTTAGAGATGGGAGCAGGGGACAGGAAAACAAAGAGGTCCTCTGAACACAACCTTTACCATACAAGTGTGAAGGACCTTATAGTAACCTGTTCAATTCTTTCTGTACATGCACAGAAGAGTGAGAAGATCTTCCCAAAGTAACTTAAGTAGCCAGCAACAGAGCAAGACTAGAACCAGGTGTCCTGATTTCCAAACCAGCTTTCTTTCCCACCATACATACAACTTCTTGTAAAGGATTAACTAGTATATAACTCTTGATTGTCTTAGACTTTTACACATATACTTGATCCCTTGAATTACATTCTAAGCCCTGCAAGCCCAGAATTCTTCCTTATATTATCTCTGATTCCTGCACAATGCCTACAGTGGTCTCGGTACAAGGTAGAGGAATTTACTGGATAATTGAAGGTTAAGAGTTAGACTATTTTCTTTGCAGTGGGACCTCCTAAGTAAAGTTTGTGGCCTGTCTTAAATTCAAAAGTGAACATGGAGCTAAGCCACATAAGCACGTTTAGAGCAGAGTCTTTCTACTCAACCATTATAGGGTATCTAGGAATGGAAATAGTATCCAGTTGACTCTTGAACAATGTGCAGGTTAGGTGTGCTGACACTTACCTTGTGCAGTTGAAAATCCACATAAAACTTTTGACTCCCCCCAAAACTTCACTGCTAATAACCTGTTGACCGGAAGTCTTTTGATAACATACACAGTTAACACATGTTTTGTATGTTATATATATTATAAACTGTATTCATACAATGAAATAAGCTAGGGAAAATAAACTGTTATTAAGAAAATCAGATGGGGGCACCTGGGTGGCTCGCCAGTTAAGTGTCTGACTCTTGATTTTGGCTCAGGTCATGATTTCATTGCTCATGGGTTCGAGCCCTGCATTGGGCTCTGCACTGACACTGTGGAGCCTACTTGAGATCGTCTCTCTCCCTCTCTCTCTGCCCCTCCCCCACTCATGCTGTATTTCTCTCTCAAAAAATAAATAAATAAACTTAAAAAAAAATCATATGGAGGGGCACCTGAGTGGCTCAGTTGGTTGAGCATCTGACTCTTGATTTTGGCTCAGGTCATGATCCCAGAGTCATGGGATCAAGCCCTGAGTTGCATTCCTCACTGAGCGTGGAGCCTACTTAAGATACTCTCTCTAGGGGCACCTGGGTGGCTCAGTCGGATGAGCATCCGACTTTGGCTCAGATCATGATCTCGCAGTCTGTGAGTTTGAGCCCTGCATTGGGCTTTGTGCTGACAGCTCAGAGCCTGGAGCCTGCTTCGGATTTTGTGTCTCCCTCTCTCTCTTCCCCTCCCCCACTCATGCTCTGTCTCTCTCTCTCTCTCTCTCTCTCTCTGTCAAAAATAAATAAACATTTAAAAAATTAAAAAAAAAAAGATACTCTCTCTAGAATCATGAAAGCAGGAAGGGAAAAAAAAGTCCCTCACATACAAGGGAAGACAGATCAGGTTTGCAGCAGACCTATCCACAGAAACTTGGCAGGCCAGAAAGGAGTGGCAGTATGCTGAATCAGAAAAATATGCAGCCAGCAAGGCTGTCATTCAAAATAGAAGGAGAGATAAAAAGTTTCCCAGACAAACAAAAATTAAAGGAGTTTGTGACCACTAAACCAGCCCTGCAAGAAATTTTAAGGGCGACTCTCTGAGGGGAGAAAAGATGAAAAAATATAAATAAATAAATAAATAAATAAATAAATAAAT